CATTAATTCCACGTCTGTAGTTTGAATGTGCAATAAGACTGGTGTTTGTAATTTTCTAGGTTATGACTACTACGGATACGATCAAGGTGAGTAGGATGTGCTACAATGGTTTGGAAGTTCATGTGTATAACCTCTTATATCATTGTTGATTGATTACTAACTCTTTCAGCACTAACATGTTTATTGTTTGATTTCAAAATTTCAGAGGGTTGTTCAGAGGGGATGTTCCTTTTGTTGCTTTTCAAGGGGGATATTTGCAGGAAGAAGTCTTTGGACCAAAAAGCATGAAAATTGTGTTGGTCTCCCATCCCTTTTTTTAATCCAAGCATTCTGAGAAAAACTTGGAGGCCCTTCAGTTAATCATAGAAGGAGTGCACTGAAGATGAAAAGCAAATCTTATAACCAACCCTCTGAAAATTTTGGTGTGCAAAAATTGTAGATAGAAATGTTTTTGATAAAACACCCATTCTAAATTCTTTTAAAATAAATGTGAGAAAAAAATTGTCCATATTTCAAGTGAACTTAATTTTGGCATTTTGCACTCTTCTAGGTCAACAGCAGAGTACTTATGGTAAATCTCAGAAGGGCGGCCGTGGTGGTGGTGGTGGATACCATCCATACAACCGATAAACATCACAGGTGATAAAATCAGGGGGAGACCAACAGAATTTCATAGCTTGTTCTCATGTCTTTGCATGATTATTTTTCCTTAATAACTTTGTCTTATTCATTTAGTTGTTATACAGGTACCCAATCTAACCACTCTCTAACTTACAGTGAATTTTTTTGGATCCTTTGTAGGCTCATACTGAAACTTTTTTGCAGAATACGGATGCTAGAATTTGTTCTCTCTTTTTTTAACTTGTAATTGAATTAATCTATAATGCAAGATTTTTCATTTATTTTGATTGCAATCTTATAAAAATTAGATGTTCCGAATCCTGTTTTGAATGATTAAATACTTAATAAACTTAATGAAGTTGTAAGGTAAAAATAGTTGAAATATGTTTAATTTATTATTTGAGCAAGTTGAAAGAATTTTATTAAAGTTAAATGATGCAAAAAAAAAAATTATAATAATGATGCTAATAATAATTTTTTTCAGTAGACATAATATTCCGTTTTCTCTTTTGTAGATCAATCTCATTAAAGAACAGACATCTGTGTTGTTTTGTGCTCTTAATGACAGGGAGTTCATTTGGAGGGAGAAAGCAGTCCTTTCATCACTCATTCTATTCTCATCATTTTCATTTCCATTTCACATGTGAGGAACATTGCTTAGTTGAATTTTATGTGCAGTCATCAACTTGTAATAAAACTGATTTTTTACAAATTAAATGTTGTTGGTTTTGCTTTGAGATTATGGGTTTTAGTTATTGGGTGGCATAAAGTTTGGGGCATAGACTAAGAAAAAAAGTGAAGTTGAATTTTGCATCTTGCATAATAGAAGTGCAGTTTTCACAGATGCACTGAGAATGTAGGTTATAGTGTACCTCAGGAGAGCCATCTGGTTGTAATTTTTTTTTCTGTCCTGTGTTATTCTAAGGAGGAGGATGTCGATTACCTCGTGATTTGGCAAGAAATTTAGCATATGAAGACAATTTGAGGAAATATTTCTTTTCTCTGTGATATCTCTTTGAAAGTTTGGTGAGTCGATTTCTTGATAATTCAATCGACATGTAAATTTCGCCAAGCGAAAGGTCGGGAGCTAAGAAGGCCTAATATGCATATATTTCATTTATATGTCCAGGAGCCTTTATGCAAAGGAGATGGGCGAACATAGCGTGCAGAAAGCCTATAGCTTCAGATATATATAAATCATGTTCAGTTTGTGAATTTTTGACAATTATTATTGAAATTCATGAAATTATGATAAAACTTCTCTGAGGACAATTTTCTCGGCAAAATATATTTTATTAAAAAAAAATATTAATGTGGGGTTCGAACCCTAGCAATAAACCCCCCCCCCCCCCCGAGTATCATATTCTTTCGAGACTAGCACGCTCACCACTAGACTACACAAGTCCTGATGAAGAGTGGCATTTAAATCATGTTTCTGATACGACCTTTGACTTAATGGACTTCAAGTATTTCTCGAAAAGATATGAATGTTATGTCATAAAAGTATATTTTTAAGGTATAGTGGGTCATTGCTCCATATTTTTGGTAACCAAAAAATGTATATTTTTATGCAAACTTTGAGGATTAACTTTCAAAAAGGTGGAGCGAAGACCCACTCATATCGAAAAATAGTGTTGTAGTATGAGAAAATGACTCTTTTTGCTCGCTTTGGTGTGTGTCTAATATTTCACAGGCAAATAATTTCACTCTGAGGGATTTTTGCAAATTGTAGAGATTTTACATAAAGTATATTTTAATGTTAGACGAAATATCAAGGAAAATTTTGATATAATTGAAATTTAATTTTTCATCTTCATGTTTGTCACACTATAGGCTTATCGCTCGTCATGTTCACCCATCTCCTTATAGTAGATCTACAGTGAATATCTTTACTGTGCAGTGATCTACATGTACATAAGCTTGTTGATGGAACATGGTATGGCAAGTACGTCCTGTCTTTAGCATGTGTGTGGCCTCATAACCTAAACGCTACGAGGATGAGAATCGTCAAGTTGTCGGCTATTACTTCTTGCGTAGGTGTGTCATACTTGAAGTTTACTGTAATCTATAATTAAAAGATGACCCAAAGACCCTTTCTGGCTCATAACTGGAAAATTATTTGGCTTGCAGTCAAACTTGTATAATTCATCTAAAAGCTGAACAGGATTCTTAAAAGAAAGAGAGTTATCTTTGCCATATTTCTCTCCTCCTAGGCTATGTTTTCCATCCCCTATATTAGCCTTAGTCTTGTTTACAGTTCAATATATTTTAGATATTTCACTGTGCGGACATCTCTCGTCATTGAGATTTGGGCGCGAAAAAAATGATACTTATACTAATAAAGTTGACAAAAATATACGGTAATTGCAAAGGTCAATGCATTTTAAAGTGAAACAAACAGATGCTTATTCAATGAAATAAAACTGTATACAAAGGGAAAGCCTAAACGCCGCAGAGACCAAGCTAAAAAGCAATCGGGTGTAACAAATGTGAAGGTATACCCCAGTGCTCATATCGGAGATGGGAAAGTAATATGGCACTTGACTCATTTACGATTCGTATTGGCGATTTTAAATAAAAGTACTATGTTTAAAGAGAGATAATCCATACAAATGTCCGAGTAATACGAAAGTGGATTGTCTTTCTTACACTAAAAACAAACGTTCTTCATGTCCAGAATTTGATGTGTTACAAACTTTTACTTCAACAAGATTCATGCGGCAAAAGTCGTTCATAGAGGTTTCATTGAAAACCGGTTTAATTTATATAATTATATATTTGTAATTTTAATATTTTATTTCTTTGCCATTTTACAGAATTGTATGTATCAAGATTTTTTCTTGACTGCATGTTTTCAAGATTTTTATTTCCATGAAAGGTCTAGATCAAAATTCGTTTCTGGAACTAATGCTTCATCTTAAGGTCAAACGACACGTTCCTCGAATATCTGTTCTTTATCTCTTCATAATATATAGAAAAATATTCATACTTATCACTATCTTTTGATTTTTTAAACCGTTTCCAAAGGAGATAAGTGAACAAGGCGTGCAGAATGTCTATAACTATAGTTATGTAAAAAAAAAATTTAAAAAAAAGAAGTCATATTCAATTATTGAATTTAGCATTTAGAGTAAAGTTCTCATTATTGAAATTTATGAAAATATGAAAAACACTTTTCAGTTACAATTACAACACAACAATTACTCTGTACTAAAAAAAAATTCTAGTGGCATTCTTGGGGATCGAACCCTAGCAATAAAAATCCTGAGTATTTCTCGGAAGATGCGAATCTTGTTTCAGAAAAGTGTATTTTTAAGGAAAAGTGGGTCATTGCTCCATGGTTTTGTTCACCAAAAATATGAACGTTTTTACGCAAACTTTGAGGATAAACTTTCAAAAAATGGAGCAAAGACCCACTCATATCGAAAAATTGTGTTCTTAGAAAATGATCCTTTTTACGCTTGTAGGCAAATACTTTCAATCTTTGTGAGATTTTTGCAAATTGTAGAGATTTTACATACATTTTCAAGTTTGATGAAATATCAAAGAAATTTTTTTTATAATTGAGGTTTAATTTTTCACCTTCATGTTTGTCGCAATAGAAGCATTTCGCTCACCTTGTTCGCCCATCTTCTTTCTTAAAAAATAAATACACCAAAAACTGTGATATTGACAATTGGAGAGATTTCTATAGAGATTTATATAGAAAACACCATCATCCGGTATATTGAACAAATGCCTGGTAGGGTACCTCAATTTTTTTGAGGAAACTTATTAAAGTATCAAATACTTCAATGACAAATTCTTAGCAAAAATTATATTTATTGTTGAGTAACGTGTCGTCTGGCCTTAAGTATGTCGTCAACGTATCCACTTTTAAAAATTAATTAGCTAAAGTTAAACATATAACTTAAATATATTCTAATAACTATGACCGATTTTTTTTTTTTTTTTTTAGTATACATGGCCCCGTGGTAGACTCGTTTAGGATATAGGATAACTGAAGTATATAATCAATTTTTAATATGAAGACCAAGTTAAACCAAAAAGATTTTAATATAACAGTACACTGTAATATCGAAAGAACATAACTCATTCAAAATTTCTCTGGTTTAACAAATATGTACAAATTTGTATTTTTTCAGTGCTCACTCAATAGATCTCCATATATCCCATGCAAAATCTGTAAATTTCATTGATCTTGTCTGAGATAATTATGACATTTTTTGCCAGATTCTGGTATAATTTGTATTTGTTTATAGCTGGATTTACTTAATATCATAAAATACTGAAATATGTTTGTAAATGCACCTTATTGTAAGCCATGTTGTATACTAAGTTCGCTGTACCTCTTTTAAATTAAAAACAACTAAATATGAAATTAAAAAAAAATAATTTATTTTACTGACATCTAAATTAACAAAGACATTGTAAAGGTCAATAATAAGATAATAAGATTTGCAAATCACAGCAATTTTCAACTTGAGGACAGAACTCCCCCCCCCCCCCGGGAAATAGATCCACTTTATATATGGAGCGGGAAATGATTCTTTTAAATAAAATTTTATTTAGGCAACTTTGGTTTGTAGGTATGGATTAGATCACAAATATGTCAAAGTTGAAAGCTGATTTATGAAAAACGGTCAAAAAAGGCCAGAGGAAGGGGGAAGAGGAGGAGGGGCTCCTGTCCTCAAGCACTTGTGACTTCCTAAAATCAATTATTCAAAACTTAAGTATTTATGATATTATATTTATGTTATATCAAGGAGACACTAATCCATATTACAGCAGTGTGAAAATCATATTCGCAATGCCAGGGGTCCTGAGTCAACACGTTGCCGTGGGAACATGTTGACTCGCGGCCCCTGTCATTGCGAGGATGTGTGAAAATAGATGTATCAACATAAAGATATAAACTGATACCAGTAAAGTATTAATACTGGATAGCAGCTGGTCGTCAAATTTTGTATAACATGGACATCCAGTCAACAATATCACACTTTGTCTAATAACTTGTATACCATCAACAACCAACTCCATCACTAATTTATATGCTAACAAAGTAAAGGGAACCTTTATGTTCACTGATGCGCTTGCTTTTGCAGTACAGCGATAAGTAGTGAAAAAAATTGAAATTTTTGTCAAATATGTGTGCTTTCTCTATATAATTTAATCAAGATAAAATTGTTCATATATTTTTTTGCAGTAAAAAATGTAATATTTTGTTATAATGACAGTGATATAATCAATAATGAACATGTTCTTTTCAAAATTTGTTTTACTCAATTAAATTATAAAAAAAGTATAAAAAATGTTGAATATGTTTAACTTATTGATACTAGACATAAACTTTCCAACAAATTTTCTAATAATGGGCAATTAAAATAAGAATTAAAAAAGAGCACCTGAGATGGGTTATATCAATATAATTATGTACACTGCAAGTTGCTCTTACACCCTACGCCTAATAGTCAAACTCAGAAATATTCCCTCACTACATACAAGAATTGCACATGGTCCACAAAACAAGATACCGGGTGTAAAGATCAACATTTATATATAGAGTACGTACATGTATAAATTATGTATTTCTAATCAATTAAACATTGCATCATGCAGAGTGTCTATTTCAAATTCTCGTTGCTTTGCTCTAGCCTGTAAATATATAAATATGCACGTGAATTTTTATTTCAGAAATAAATCTCAAAAATAAATAATCTCAACAATGCTTGAAATTTTAATATTTAAAATTTAACCTTGCTACTGGAACTAAAGGTACTGTGAGTGAGCTGATAAAATAATACCCCCCCCCCCCCCCTTGCAATTGGTAGTAAAATGAAGTGAATGAACATGAATTTTACTCTTTTTCTGTCAGTGTCCTTAAACTTGCCAGAATACCTTGGTTCAAGGTTATAACTTTCTTTAAGCTCACAAAATAACTTGTTTGAAGTTTCAAATTCCAACAATTTTTTTTTATTTTTTTCTGTCAGAGACCTTGAACTAGCTAGAATGACCTTGGGTCAAGGTCATGATTCACCTTCAAAACTTAAGTAATTGTGTGAAGTATGAACTTCCAATGTTAATCCATTAGAAAGTTATAGATAACAATTTTTCTGCCAGTGAAAATGACCTTGTCACCTTGGGGTTAGATCAAGATGAACCCCTAAATCAAAAGCAATCTTTGTGTCAAGTATCAAATTGTCTCCATTTGAGAGTTATACATAGGACACAAACAAAACACTTTCTAATCAGTGACCTTGAACATGCTGAAATGGCCTTGGTTCATAGTCAATACATAGTCTCACATCATATGCAATATTTATGATAAGTATGGGACTCTAATGTACTCCATTACAAGATATGGTCAAGATATGTTTTAAACATTTTTCTAAATGTGGCCTTGAATTTGATTAAACGACCTTGGGAGATGATCAAGAAACATATTTAGGTCAAAAGCAATCTTTGTATGAAGTATAAACTACCAATTTTTCTCCATAAAGAAATTGTAGACAAGACCAAAATTTTATACTTTTTCTGCCAGTGACCTTAAACTTGCTGGAATGACCTTGATTCAAGGTCATGACACATCCTCAAGTCATTAAAAATCTTTGTACCAGGGGTATGAGTTTCTAATAGTTCTTCATAGATATAGCCTGGAGAAGATTGCACAGTTAGACAGATGGACGAGGTGATTCCGAGATGACTCTCTTTTAGCGGAGGGGGGGGGGGGGGGGGTGGGAGATTAAAAATAAAAAAAATTCTCACCTTGTGTTTCTTGTAGTTTTCATAATCTGAGTCATCTGTGGGAAACTCCTCTCTACACATAGGGCAGTTATTCACCTGACAAAGAGAAAGTTGTTGATCAGTTAGTTTTCAGTACTTATTCAGTGAAAAATTTTTCAATAAAATCAACAAGTAGCCTCAGAGTTTGTTTAACCAAACCAGAGACATATATATCTGGTACACATGTCTCTGTCCAAACTATTGAGAACATGCATGTTTTTAACTTTTAGTAGTGATTAATAAGTTCAGAGCACGGCCACCAATGAAAATATAAAAAAAAATCCTGTTTCACTGTTCATCAAGGGAAGGAAAAGTGAATTTTCTGTTTATTACATTTTCTATGATTTTCCCTTTGCCTCTGTCTTTTCGTAAGACAGTGTCACATCAGGGACCTATATACTAGTATATAGGCCCTGGTCACATGCTGTAACATTATAGCTGAGCGGTTGAAACAAATCAGTTTCTCCAACAAAACAATGATTCTTCTTACTTGCTGTAACCAAGGCAAAATGCAGCTGGAATGAAACCTGTGAGAACACTTTGGAAGCTCAATTGTCTCATCTTCTTCATCAAGCAGTCCTAAACACACTGGGCACTTCTTTTCCAAAGCTGAAATTCAAAATGTCAACATTGGCACCAGAGTTACAGGAACACTAAAAAATTCATTCTAATCAATGTGTGTAAAGTACAGGTAATTTTGTCAACACCATGGATTTCACATGTAGTTATTTTCTCGCTCCCTGATCAGCTGTGATTTTACTTTTTTATAATCTGATCCACACTAATTTTCTTTCATTGTTTATTCATTGCCCAAATTATTTTCACTTCAATGTGTATTCCATAGTTTCTTATCCTCATAAAAAATGTATTAAATATGTAAGATTAAACAGTACAACGTAAAAGGTAATGTTAATGTTACATCTTACTAACATTAAGTCAAAATAAAATTTCTTTTCTTGTTGCATAACCAATAAACCCTTAGCGGAGCATTCCTGCCCTATAGACATATTATCCCAGCATAAATTTAATATAAAAGAGGTATAGAGTCCTTTCCCAGTATTTCGCCTACCGGTACTACCAGGTTTTATTACTACTAATCGACTCACTTGGCATTGGATATGCGGAACTTTCTAATCTATATACTAATGTTTATCATTTAAAAGATTTCCTCGTAAATTTAAGCTCTGTTTCGGGCTATTAATATTCACGAGAAAGTTGAAACACTTTTTAAGTAGGTTAGATCCTGAGCTTTGGGCTGATTTTGGTCTGGACCTATATTTGTAAAATTCTGCATCATTTTTAAGTTCAAACATTAAATCTGGATTCTACAATGTAAATTAAACTATATCCAATGAAAAAACCGCGATTAAATTCCATTCAGATAGGATTTAGCCAGGAACTATATTTTGTGGCGGAAGGTTTTTTAGGGGAAATTGATCAATTTTTTCCCTTTTGAAATATAAACAGTACCGTTAAGTTTAGATTCCTATTTTTCCATGCTGGTTGCACACAGAGCTGTTTTTTGCAGTGAAATGTTTTATGCTGGTTCTAAAATATCTATTAAATTATTTCTTATGAATTCTTTCATTATATTGTGACAAATATAATAAATTTATTCTGAAAGTCCAGGAAAAGATTTAGCCAATTTTAACATAAAATTAGTACTTTTTTAGCAATATCTAAAAATTTACATCATAGACCCCCACTTTTGCTTTTCTTTTCTGAATATATAAGATAACTTTGATCAATCTGCCTAAACTCAGCAAAAGTTTAAGACTTAAAAATAATTTTCTTGCTTGTTAAATTTCTAATGTCAGAAAAATCACATTTTTGAGTGCAAAAAGGTCAAATAATTGATTATGCGATGCAATTTGAAACTTTTTCTTAGTCACAATTTTAAAGTGTCTTTTTTTTAAATATACTTATAATTTATTTTGTCCCATGATTTATTTGGATAAAATCATTGGAGGGAAAACGTCAAAGATGTAATTTTTGATTAAGACACAAATTTCAGTGCAAAAAGGTCATATTAAATGTTCTGTAGCGCCAAAAGAAGCATATTGACCCCCAGTTTTGGTTTTGATTTTTAATTAAGCTACGTATGTAGAAACTAAAAATATACTTGACAAAAAAAGTTTAAAACTTTAAATATCAGGATCCAACCTTGTTAAGTACATACGAGATATTTCTCTTATTACTTCACAACCAGCCTCTCTGCGTTTATGTATATATCACTATAAATCAAATCAAGTTTTTTTCATAATTTTAAAAAAAATATTTTGTTAACTTGATATTTTTCACAATTATGTATCAAGATTTTTTCTTTACTATTTTCAAGATTTTTGCTTTCTTGAAAGGTCTAGATCACTATTCGTTTCGGGAAATGCTGCTGCATCTTAAGTCGTAAACGTATCCACTTTTTCTCTTTTCTTTCCAAAATAGTCGAAAATACCATGTTTTATTACATTTTCAACAGTGAAATACCATGATTTATTTATTGAATAAAAGTGATATTCTCTCACAGTGTGAAAGGATACCAAAATGATATTCTCTCACAGTGTGAAAGGAAATCAAAGTAATTAAAAATTAATTTCTGGCCTGTCATAAGATAGATATATTAACTAAGCATCTTGATAGAGCTAAAACTGCAAATTTCTTCCCAAATATGTTGCTAAAATCCATGCTATATAATGTTTTCAATCACATAACTGCAGCGCTAAGCTATGACGTCTCAACCGCTCAACTATGACATCAAGCCTATGACAGTGTTAAGAAAAGACAGAGGCAAAGGGAAAATCAAAGAAAATGTAATAAACAGAAAATTCAATGTTTTGTAGATGAATATGGAATTTATTTCACTCGTGAGACAGGATTTTTTTATATTTTCACTCGTGCTTCGCACTCGTGAAAATATCAAAAAATCCTGTCCCACTCGTGAAATAAATTCCATATTCATCTACAAAACATTGAATATCCTCTATTTATTAAGTCCAGAACGTTAAATTCAAAAGTATATGGTAAGAAATGGTTGGAAGAATAATGCATAGATCTATAATAACGTTTATTTCTGATGTGTATATTATGTGGAAAATACGACACTAATAAAAAAAAATAACTAGCTAAAGCAAAACGTCATGATAAAACATATACTTAAACTCACTTATAACTATGATTAATGCAACAAAAATCTGGAACGGGGGTGGGGTGGGGTGGGGGGGGGTGGGGGCTTGAACCGGCCCAAACACGAAAACAGTTGATCGTACCCCATTAGCCTACGTACGCTATTGAAAATTTCCGTGTATTTTGTTTATATATATAGCCCCGTGTTAGTGTCTTTCGGAAAATACGATAACTGAAGTATGTAGACAATTAATTTTCAATATGAAGACAAAGTTAGACCAAAAAGATTTTGATATAACAGTATACTATGATATCAAATGAACGTAACCCATTCAAGATTTCTCTGCTTAAGTTGGTTCAAATACATGTACACAAATCTGTATTTTTTCAGTGCTCACTCAATAGTTCTCCATTGATCCCATGCAAAATCTGTAAATTTCATTGATCTTGTCTGAGATAATTATGACATTTTTGGCCAAGTACTGGTATAATTTGTATTTGCATATAGCTAGATTTACTTAATATCATATAATATTGAAATATTTTGGATGTTTGCAAATGCGCTATATTGCAGATCATTTGGTATAGGAGTTTAAACAATCGTCAAGAGTCTCTAACAGATTTTACTGTCAGATGTATATATGTATGAATAGGTTTGATATTGAAAATGTCTGAAGAAGTTTGATATGCGCAAACGAAATCAAAAATTTCGATGACCAAGAAAGTTGTCATGCAGTTATTTGGAGTAGCTTCCCTTTACATTTACCGGGGGGAAATTCGAAGAACATACATATCCAAAGGGATTAAACAAAAAGTAACATCTGGTAAGTCAATTTTATGTTAGAAACAGCTGGTAACGACACGATAATTTGTGAACGTTGTTTGTTCGTTAAGTATTACTATACTCTATCACTTTTAATTGGGATTTTTTTAATTCTGTGATTTCCCGCAAATTTTTTTCGGAACATTACGTTAACGTTACGCAATGTACTCCGAATGCATAACGTTACCATGGCGTCGTAGCTAAGGTAAACAACATGGCGCATAAGAGAAAGTTTAAGAATCCATAAAGTTGTTATTAAAGCTTACTTTAAGGGAAACATTCAAACTTTTTAGAACTATTTAAAGAATTATCATTATTTACTTCTCCTTATTATCTGGTTAAAAATACAATAAGTGCGAAAAAGGTTTTCACACATTGCTACTTTTACTGCCTGTGTTTTGTTTTTCGTTTTGAAGGCGATATTATGATACATAATTCCGCTGTAGGCTGCAATCTTCTCTACCAAATATAGCTTCTCTATATGTTTTCTTTGATTTTAGTGAATTTCGGAAGAAAAGAAGCTGCAAAACCATAGTAAAAAAATTATTTCAGTTCCCCAATACTGAAAATCGCTCAAAAAATATTAAGAATTTGAACAACGTTCGAAAAATAAATACAGTTTGTCCATAATTTTAACATATCATGAAAGCTCACCTAAATTTGACATAAGATCCGATTTTATCTTTCAATTTAACCGTAATGTTAAGACGTGTTACTCGATTCAATTGTCGCCAGTAGCACAAAATTGTCGTTCAAGATGGCCAACAGTGGTCCGTTACATTTTCGCGCTCTTTCCAAACTAACCGTTATTCGCCAATCAGCGCGCTCAAAATTGAGCCAATCAGAAAGGCGCAAAAATACAGGAGGGTATATAAACAAGCTCTCCCGTATCTAAGCATCAGTTGCAAAACAACAGTCTTGAGATGCACATCGCTACTTTCGTAACCATTCTCTTGTTGATTCCTGCTGGCCCGGTCACCATCCCGGCACTGCCAGACATATATGAGTAAGTGCAATCCTAATCATGAATTAATTATTAGGAGAGAATATAAGCCCATTAATTTTAAATTTTAAGAATAAATAGAAATCTAGATTATCTGAAGAAAGGATGGCGTCATTAAATTTTTTCATTAGATACGGTTGTACTAAAATCATTCCAGACGTCAACATGTTAATATAATCTAGGGCAATGTTAATCTCCCTTTAAAATGATTTAAAATAGAAAAAAATGTTCCTAATAATAATAATTAACCTGCCATTTAACAATAAGTTTGCTTAATTAAGCGCTTTTTTATTAGGTTTTTTGTGTTTGTTGGGGGGGGGGGGGTTACACACTGCATACATGTAACATATGTATACCGAGAAATGTTACGTGAATTTAAATAAAACTTTTTTAAAATTAATTTCAGATTTGCAGAGGGCATGTGGAACATGACGACACAAGCTTCTTGGCACGTTTCGGTAAGATTAGACCTCGGTCATTATCACCAAGTGAATTTTGGCATCAACTGTCTTCTGTTTACACATCTCTGTCTCTTCTCTTTCTCTTCTCAGCAAACGCTGTCCAGTGTCGATGAGAAGGTCTTCAGTCTAACGGCCTCTCTCGCCACCAGCAGTGTATGTGCCTTGGACTCTCTCTTCACTTTCGCTCTCACTGTCGCTTCAAACACTGGCTCATTACTGGTTGACATTCAGGATTACTTTGAGACATGGTCCGTTCAGTTCAGAGATTATGTCATCAGAGTTTCAGCATGTATTTATGATTGCTATGGTGACATTGTCAGCAGTGTTTCGTCTCTCTTTGGACAAGGCTTGGGTTTTGTTGAGCAAGTTCTCTCAGTTCATAAACTCTTTCCCGTCAGAAACTTTCTGTCATCCATTTCTGCAAAAGGCTTCGTACGTGTGTGTGCTGTTTTCTTCTTCATGGCTTTGTGTGTGTCACTTGTTTGGATGGTGTTTGAAATGTGGGAGCACCTTGGAGTGATGAACAAGACTATAGCCAGTCTAGCAGAAGGTTATTATTAACCCTGCATCTTAGACATTTCTTATTTGTTCTTTCATTATTTTTTTTTTATTACCGGTGTCTGATGCATCTAATGCATGGCCTAATAATTTTTTTACCCGCTTTTTTCAGAAAACAGACACTTGATGTTGAAGATGGATGCTGAATTCAAAACTCTAGAAGAAAGGCGAACAGAGAATGGTAATTAACAGTTAAAGTTGGAGAATTAAAAATGAAATTTATCTTTTATTATACGTACACGTATATGGCTCATGTTAATAGCTGTATGTACTCCATTACAGAGAGAGCATTGACTGACACGGAAAATAAATCTAAAGCCTTATCAATGTGGATTAATGTCTACACGTCCGAACTGTCCAGAAAGTAAGAAAATTAAAGAAAATATTATTTACCTTTTTAATGTACTATAGTATTTTATATTGTATATAAACTGGAAAATCTTCAAATAGATAAATCAATTAACGACAAGGTTTTCTAAATTTACTATCTCACAAGATATTTTCATTACCACTAGTACCAAACTAAGTATTTTTTCTCTTTTAGGTTAGAAGTGCAGTCTGCTGGACAGTTTGTCCGTCGATCCCTCAAACGACAGAAATTGTTGTGAATGGACTATTTGTTGAAGCATTTTATTGTTGATTAAATATATGACTAAAATTTAATTGTGTGTTTATTCGTAGGTTTTCTATGAGAGGTTTTCTGCTTATTACACATAGCAAAATGCTAACTGTGTTTTAAAATGTTTAGCGTTAACTTTAACCGTGAATACATTTACATTTCGCTTTGGACTAAATGTAGCTTTTTCAATAATTAAAAAAAAAAATCTGACATCATGTGCCTGCTGTTTATATTTCTATACACACCGAATGGCAAATATTTGGACATAAGGAAAATAGTTACTGAGGAAATGGTGCCAGCGCAACTTCCTGGGCCTTTCCGAGAAGCGGAAAAACAACCTCCAGTGTGTTACGAAGACGTCCATGACAACCCCCCTTTTCATAAACATTGAATCAAGGGCACCGCAAAGCGGAGCATTCCCTCGCAAAAGAGTATATCGATCCTGATATGAATTATTACTTGCTTAACTTTTGTTATGCACGTACTCAATAACCCCCCCCCCCCCCCACACACACACACACGCAACCTTCGTTGCGAGGGAAACACAATTTTACTTTTTACATTTTCTTTGGAGAATACTTTAATAACTCTAAGTAAATAAAAAAAGTTGACACTAAGTTTTGAATATTAAGCATGTTGAGTTTTGATAGTTCCATGTCATGTCAAAGGTATGTGAACTGCTGCTACAGTTAGATTTATTAATGAGTGTAAAATATTTGAGCAGTGATCATTATGAATGATTTCTGAGTTATAACTGAAAGCAAGTCCCATTTTTTGCAGCTAATATTGTTTGACTAAACTTTTGCCTTGCTCCAGTGAAGGAAAAAAAAAACGTTTTATGTTGATTTTTAAAATTTTGCTATATCAGCCATGCTGCAGTGAACAAAAAGATGAATGTTGATTTTTCAAAATTCTGTTACTGATTACAAACAGAAAAAAACAATTCTTGACACCTTGGCACATGCATGTGGCTTCATTCAACATTGAAATCAACTCACATTTACCTGTAAAATGTAATGATACACCTGATTAACTTCTTGACCTAGATTCAAACCTATTGTGATACTTGTTAGACCAAATTGTATACCCTATTGAGCTATCCAGCAAGCCATTGAAAACTTTACTGGTATTTTGTAATTCGCTGTAACCATGGTAACAAAACTGTCGAACTCCGATTGCACACAACTCAATATTTACACTTGGAAAAGCAAAATACTGTATGTTTCCACATAAATATTACCAATCACTGCTTTGCTGTTCCTGAGAAAAAGATTTTTGAAGCTTTTTCCTATATACACCTGTGTTATACTTTGTTCGTCCATTGTGGCCCCACCCTACTCCTTGAGGTCATGATTTGAACAAACTTGAATCTACACTATCTGAGGATGCTTCCATATAAATATTACAAACAGTGGCTTTGCTGTTCTTAAGAAGATTTTGAAAAATTTTTCCTATATATTCCTATGTAAAACTTTGATCGTTCATTGTGGCCCCACCCTACCCCTGGGGTCATGATTTGAATAAACTTGAATCTACACCACCTGAGGATGCTTCCACATAAATATGATCAATCATAGCTTTGCTGTTCTTGAGAAGAAGATTTTTGAAGATTTTTCCTATATACACCTATGTTAAACTTTGATCATCCATTGTGGCTACACCCTACCCCTGGGGGTCATGATTTAAACAAACTTGAATCTACATCACCTTAGGATGCTTCCACATAAATATGACCAATCATAGCTTTGCTGTTCTTGAGAAGAAGATTTTTGAAGATTTTTCTTATATATTCCTATGTAAAACTTTGATCGTCCATTGTGGCCCCACCCTACCCCCGGGGGTCATAATTTGAACAAATTTGAACCCACACCACCTGAGGATGCTTCCACATAAATATGACCAATCACTGCTTTGCTGTTCTTGAGAAAAAGATTTTTGAAGCTTTTTCCTATATACACCTGTGTTATACTTTGTTCGTCCATTGTGGCCCCACCCTACCCCTGGGGGTCATGATTTGAACAAATTTGAATCTACACCACCTGAGGATGCTTCCACATAAATATGATCAATCATAGCTTTGCTGTTCTTGAGAAGAAGATTTTTGAAGCTTTTTCCTAGATATTCCTATGTAAAACTTTGATCGTTCATTGTGGCCTCACCCTACCCCTGAGGTCATGATTTGAATAAACTTGAATCTACACCACCTGAGGATGCTTCCACATAAATATGACCAATCATAGCTTTGCTGTTCTTGAGAAGAAGATTTTTGAAGATTTTTCTTATATATTCTTATGTAAAACTTTGATCGTCCATTGTGGCCCCACCCTACCCCCGGAGGTCATGATTTGAACAAAATTGAATCCACACTACCTGACAATAATTCCACATGAGTTTTATCTTTCCCGGCCCATTGGTTCTTGAGGAGAACATTTTTCAATAATGCAATTAATTTTTTACTATTTCGTAATTATCTCCCCTTGGAGGAGGGCGTGGCCCTTCATTTGAACAAACTTGAATCCCCTTCACCCAAGAATACTTTGTGCCAAGTTTGATTGAAAATGGCCCAGTAGTTCTGGAGAAGAAGATGAAAATGTGAAAAGTTTACCACAATGACAACGCCAACGACGAAGACAGACAACAGACAAATTTTGATAAGAAAAGCTCACTTGAGCCTTTGGCTCAGGTGAGCTAAAAACAAAAACAACTTATTTTCCCAATACTGCTTTTTGGATAAACAACAATATTCCTATCAATGAAATATAAATGATAAGAAAAGTTTATCATATTACAATAACTTGTAATCCTATCCTAGTATCATAATCTGTTACAGTAACACAATAAAATGCTGCAATCCCCTTTCATTTTTTTGTAAAACTGTTCCTAATAATGTGTTTTTCATTAATTTGATCCCTTCCCTTTTCCTCTTTTCATATCAAAAGGCTTCTAATGGACATCCTGATAATATTTATACTTTTTTCTGAAATTTATACCTGTTCTAATGATAAATATTTTTAAAAAATGGGACACAACCAATCACTATAATGCTGACAGAGAAAGAAAAGTAAATACAGTTAAAATCATTCTTCTATCATATTGGACTTTTGCGAGAAATGCTGACTTTTACAGTCAACAGTTTACTTTGACATTTAAACCTGTGTTATGTACAGAGGGACAGAATTGATAATAAAGAAGAAAACATTATACGTATGGCGTTAGGGTCGCTTACATGATTTACCTGTATTCAATCAACACAAGAGATGATGGGAGGCAAATACCATAACTTAAAATATGATGTTGATGTTCGTGAGGAGTAGTATCTCCTTTCAATCTTATTTGATGAAGAAATTAAATAAGGAAGAAAAAAAAAACATTTCGAAAGGAAAACTTGACAGGAGTTGGTGAAGGTGGAAAGGGAGGGGGTTGAGGAAAGGGTGGTTGCAGATCCCTCCCTAGACAACGTAATATGTGCTTTGAAACTGCCAATTATTACCTTTTAATTAATTGTTCAGCTAAATATTATTTACGCAAAAGAGCTTCCGTACATTGCCTTAGTGTAAAAGTAAGCCATTGACTGTAAAAGTCAGCACTTCTCACAAAAGTCCATTAATAATGCACAATAAAAATTTCAATTTATCTATGCTAAAAGACATACAGTTGAACTTTGGTAACTTGAACAGCGATATCTCAAATATCATAGATGTACTGAAATGAGATGGAAGTCCCAACCACTTTTTCTTTATGTATCTTAACCTCAATATATCAGATTATTCAATATCTCTGGGTTATGGGGGGGGGGGGGGGGTTCTCACAGACTTCAAGAAAATGAGGCAAGTGTGACTGTTTAATAAAGTTGAAACGTTATATTAATAAATATCTATTATACTTACCAGCTTCAGTTGGTGATACTATTTTCCTTGGTAATTCTTCAACAAACTTTTTAGATGCAGGAGGGACTTTTCTCTCTCCACCAAATGCCCTTTTGATTGAAACAGGTGTTAATTAAATTTACTTTTTTATGTATTAAAGAAAATAGAGGTATGATGAATTATTTCAGTGACTAGTTTAGTAGCTCATTAAAAGCATAAAAAGGTTGAGATATAGCCAAATTTATGTTTATTTTAGAAGTTAAGTCTATCTACTTACGCTTCATACTCTAAATTCCATTCTGCTGCTAATCCACTATCCAGAAGTAGCCTTAAAATGAGAGGGGGAAAATCATTCTGTGGGGGTTTAATCTTGACCAATGACTTGTAACTTAACTTTTAGGCTACCAGCATTGAACTTAACTAAATTTCAGGGGGTCCAGCTTTGAATAGGCAAGCACTAAATAAAGTTGTTTGGAAAGTGGTGCTAGAACATAGCAAAGACAACGGGAAGGGAGAAATGTAATGGACAAGACAAAGATTTGAAGTCTGACTTCCCTATACTAGCACCACTTTCCAAAAAACTCCACAGGTACTTGGGTCTTGGTAATATAGAACGTTCTCTCATTAAAATGATACTGTCCTACGGACCCGATTTTATGGTAAGGGCTTGTCCCGAGACACATTTCTTTTTATAGATTAGACTAAACATTTCTGGTGTATAAATAAATATTAATAAGTCTCTACCTGGCCATATGAAGCAAATGATTTGGCTGTTCACCATCTTTTAAAGGCTCGCAATCGTGTTCATCAAAATATGATGCCATAATTTACAAAATATCAGTTTTCTCTAAAATGACAAGGCAAGTTTTCGCGAATGTATAAGGCCGCTTATATCAATTTTGAAATCAATATAAACCTAAACTTGATAAACTAGATCTTATAATCTATATGTTAAGATAATTGATGTTTTTAAGCAAGAAGATGACAGAATCGATAAATCATTAGTCAATTTATAGTTAGACAAAAAAATCTTTATTTTTTTAAATGATGTATGCAAATTATAGTCAATTCTACCACAAGATAGTTTTCACAGTTTCATGCATGAAACTTTGTCATGTCTTAAATAAGATTGACATTAAATGAATATAAAAGAAATTTCAAGAGTTCATAATATTTCATTTTGGTCGGTACAAATACATCTACTACTTTAATACGACATTTTTTGGGAAGAACTAATTAAAATCTAAGATGGCAGACGAGCAAACGAAAGAAGAAAAAGGTTAATTTATAATTATTTAAAAGCAAAAGTTTTCCATCAATATGCTGTCATATGTTATATTTTAGTGTTTTTTTTAAATCTAAATCAAAATGATTACTCCCATTTTCCTACAAATATTCATTGATTCATATCGGAAACCCACAACGCCAGGATATATTCAAATTGTCAAGGATATATGTACCTTATTGATATGTAAAAAAAAAAAAAAAAAAAAAAAAATTTGGACCCGGATTGATGGTTTAATTTTTAAGTCGGTAGGTTCTTGTTGGAATTTTTAGGTCACCTATGTTAATCAGGAGACTTATTGCTATCTATTTTATGCATTGTCTTGTTGCTGCTTTTCATTAATTCTGCAGACATACTGATCAAACACGTCTCTATTGAATGACTGAGAACATCTAACTAAGAATGCTAAAAGATACAGGCAAACAAATCAATGGAATGTTTGGTCGTTAGTTCACCTTAGCCAAAAGCTCAAGTGAGCTTTTCTGATAAAATTTCTCCATTGTCTCAACCTATCTGTCATCATTGCCATTTAGAATTTTTATGAAATTCTTTGAGAATGATATTACTCCTGCAGTTTTGGTCCAATTTCAATATAATTTAGTACACAAGTAGACTACACGTAAATATATAACTCTGTTTATTGGTTTGTTATTAGTTCACCTGAGCTGAAAGCTCAAGTGAGCTTTTCTGATCACCCGTTGTCCGTCCATCTGTCTGTCCGTCTCCATCCGTCTGTAAACTTTTCACATTTTCAACTTCTTTCAAGAACCACTGGGCCAATTCCAACCAAAGTTGGTACAAAGCATCCTTGGGTAAAGGGGAAGCTAAATTGTTAAAATGAAGGACCAAGTCCCCTAGTTAGAATAATCTAACTGTGTCTGGGGACAGGCCCTCACCACAGTTAGAATGCCTCCCATATGCTCGTAATGTAGCAGAAAATTGCAGAATCGCTCCGAAACGATTTTGGAGAAAATTCATGAAGTTGCATTGAAAATAACAGTCAAATTAATCATAACAAACCTTTTTGAGACTGTAAATACCTTTCATCTAAAATTTTAATCCATATAATGGAAGAATTCAACACTTTTTTCCTCGTTTCAAATTTACACACCATGTTGACATTTGGAACTCTCAGGATTTTTCATAGTAAATGTACTGAGTTAGAGTTATCTCCGTATTTTCTTTGCAACATTGACAATACACGGAACGCATTCTATCGTTAAACTTGGTCCATAGGAAATTAACTGTAGATTCCTAAATATACGCGAGGAATTAATTATTGCGTAATTACGCGAGAAGCACCACTCGCGAAATAAAATTACTCGCTTTTATTTTTATGGTGATTAAATCAATGTAAAATCTCTTCATCAAACGTCCACTCGCGAATTATTGTTCTCGCGATTTGACGTCAAAGAGTCATTTCGCGAATATAAGTACTCGTGAAAAATAAGGAATCTACAGTATCATTTTAACGATAGAACATTCTATCTACAAGTCCCCTTGCAAGGGGGATATAATCTAGAAAAGGCAAAAATAGGGTGGGGTCATTAAAAAATCTTTTTCTCAAGAACCACTGGGCCAGAAAAGCCCAAACTTATGTGGAAGCATCCTAGGATAGTGTAAATTCTAAATTGTTAAAATCGTGATCCCCGGGGGTAGGACGGAAACACAACAGGAAATCCAAATTTTACATTGAAATATACAGGGAAAATCTTCTTCTCAAGAACCACTGGGCCAAAAAAGCTGAAACTTATGTGGAATTATCCTGGGAAAGCATAGGTTCTAAATTGATCAAATCATGAGCCCTTGGGATAGGGTGGGGCCACAATAGGGAATCAAAATTTTACATTGAAATATATAGAAAAATCTTTAAAATCTTTTTCTCAAGAACCACTGGGCCAAAAAAGCTGAAATTTATCTGGAAGCATCCTGGGGTAGTGTAGATTCTAAGTTCTTCAAATCCTGACCCCCTGGGGTAGGGTGGAGCCACAGTAGGTATTACAAGGGGGGACTCTTGTGAAGAACAGCAGGGCCAAAGTAACTCAGATGAGCATTGTGGCCCATGGGCTTCTTGTTTCAATAAACATTCTTGCCATGGTTATTTAATAAGTATTAAAACAGAATTTTTTGTGAAATTTTTCTCCACAGTTTGGTTCAGAAAGAACAGCTTGGCCATTTTGACTCAGTTGAGTTATGTGGCCTTTGGACCTCTTATTTGCCTAACACCCAATTGAGAATAATTTACTCATATTGGAACACCAATTGCCAGTGGAATGCTGGCAATTTGACCTGCACTCAACATTTATGGCCATTGATTAACAAATCTTTTTTGTGCTTACATCTACTGCAACTATACATTCTCATCCAATTTGTAAGGACTGACAAATCTATGGGAATTGGCACATATAATTAAAAAACAGTCTAACAGTTAAGTTACATTCTTATTATAATGTTTTTAGGGGAAAAGAATTAAAAAAAAAATCAAAGCACTAAAGTACCAAAAATGACTTTGTCTAGAATTATCTCTTTTAATCAATGATTTTTACATAATACTAGTAAAAAACTTTTCAGTTTTCCAGTTCTGTTCCTTGAGTTATTGAATTAAGAATAATAACTTGAGTTATTTTGTTCTTAATTTCGACCAACCAAGTTTTACATTCAGACAGGCTAAAGTTTGATGTCACTAAAATTACCCAAAGTGCAAGTGATTCTGAAATGTGCTAAATGAAATCTACGCTAACTAGTTGAAAAATCAATTTCAGCTAAATATTGTAAACACCAAATATAATACATTTTCAGTTTTATGAATTATTTAATTTACTTATTTCTAGCTTCACTCAAGTACATATACATCACACTGTTGCAACAGTAATTTATGAAATGATATTGCAAGAATTTTATAATAATCTCCATGTAAGTTTACATTCTGTTGTCAGAAAAAGTAGAAGTTGAAGTAGCTGAGGAGGTGAAGGAGCCCCCACCCCCTGATGTAGTACAGCTTTGTCGTGAAACATTCCAAAAGTCAGCTGAGTATCTGCATGGAGAACTCGAAGGTACCATACACAACTGTGTCACATATCTTAGTTTTCTAGAAAGTGTACAATTGTCTTTTTTGAATTTTTTTGTTGTTGACATTTTAGGAACAATTGAAGACTACAAGCTCCTGGAAACACTGAATAGAATCACAATTACAAAATACACTGATATGAAAGAATTTACGGAAAACATCAGTAAAGGACTTCAAGATCTCAATGAGAAATGTAAGTCATTGAATTAAGAGAATTGACTCTTCTTATTCAGAACAGCTTACTGCCTTACTTGTGTATCAATGTTTTAAAACTCATCCTATATATTTTTATCTTTTTTAGCTCACCTGAGCTGAAAGCTCAAGTGAGCTTTTCTGATCACCCATTGTCCGTCGTCCGTCTGCCCGTCCGTCTGTAAACTTTTCACATTTTCGACTTCTTCTCAAGAACCACTGGGCCAATTTTAACTAAACTTGGTACAAAGCATCCTTGGGTAAAGGGGAGTTTAAATTGTTAAAATGAAGGGCCAAGTCCTGTTCAAAGGGGAGATAATCAAGAAAATACAAAAATTGGGTGGGGTCATTAAAAAATCTTCTTCTCAAGAACCACTGGGCCAAAAAAGCTGAAACTTATGTGGAATTATCCTGGGGTAGTGTAGATTCTAAATTGTTCAAATCATGACCCCTGGGGGTAGGGCGGGGCCACAATAGGGAATCCAAGTTTTACATTGAAATATGTAGTAAAAATCTTCTTCTCAAGAACCACTGGGCCAGAGAAGCTGAAACTTATGTGGAAGCATCCTTGGGTAGTGTAGATTCTAAATTGTTCAAATCATGACCCCCGGGGGTAGGGTGGGGCCACAATAAGGAATCCAAGTTTTACATTGAAATATATAGTAAAAATCTTTAAAAATCTTCTTCTCAAGAACCACTGGGCCAGAAAAGCTGAAACTTATGTGGAAGCATCCTGGGGTAGTGTAGATTCTAAATTGTTCAAATCATGAGCCCCGGGGGTAGGGTGGGGCCACAATAAGGAATCCAAGTTTTACATTGAAATATGTAGTAAAAATCTTCTTCTCAAGAACCACTGGGCCAGAAAAGCTGAAACTAATGTGGAAACATTCTTGGGTAGTGTAGATTCTAAATTGTTCAAATCATGACCCCCTGGGTTAGGGCGGGGCCACAATAAGGAATCCAAGTTTTACATTGAAATATGTAGTAAAAATCTTCTTCTCAAGAACCACTGGGCCAGAGAAGCTGAAACTTATGTGGAAGCATCCTTGGGTAGTGTAGATTCTAAATTGTTCAAATCATGACCCCCGGGGGTAGGGTGGGGCCACAATAAGGAATCCAAGTTTTACATTGAAATATATAGTAAAAATCTTTAAAAATCTTCTTCTCAAGAACCACTGGGCCAGAAAAGCTGAAACTTATGTGGAAGCATCCTGGGGTAGTGTAGATTCTAAATTGTTCAAATCATGAGCCCCGGGGGTAGGGTGGGGCCACAATAAGGAATCCAAGTTTTACATTGAAATATGTAGTAAAAATCTTCTTCTCAAGAACCACTAGGCCAGAAAAGCTGAAACTAATGTGGAAACATTCTTGGGTAGTGTAGATTCTAAATTGTTCAAATCATGACCCTCGGGGGTAGGGGGGCCACAATAAGTACTATGAGGGGGGGGGGGGAGAGAAATCAGGTGAAAAACAGCAAGGCCAAAGTTACTCAGGTGAGCGCTGTAGCCCATTGGCCTCTTGTTTAGGACGAAGTATTAAAAGCAATTGTATAATGTCCTCAATTTTTTCTTCCATAAAGGAAGACTTATATGATAATTAAAATGAAAGACAGAAAATTTTCAAAAAGCCCTGGGTATAATGGGTTTCATTATTAGCTATGATGAAAAGTATAGTTCACCATGCAAATAATTTTCTTTTCAACAAGAGCAGAAAATTTTTAAGGATTTCCTAAGTTGATTTTTATTCATCAAGTTATATGCCTTTAACCACTCTCCACTTATTAGTAAGAAGTCAGAAAGTTGAGTGAACTTGAGATGTTGGTAATTTTTCTCCATATATATGGCACATCTACTCAGGACAGCTATAGTGTTTAGGTCACTTGATCTGAAAGCTCAGATAAACTTTTCCAATTACATTTTTTCTGGCATCTGTCTGTCTGTCTGGCTAGCTGTCAGTCCATCTAAACTTTTCACATTTTCAACTTCTTCTACAGAACCACTGTGCCAATTTCAACCAAACTTGTCACAAAGCACCCTTGGGTGAAGGAGATTCAAATTTTCTCAAATGAAGGAAAATGCCATCTTGAAAGGGGAGATAATCAAGAAATGTCAAAAATAGGGAGGGTGTATAGGGTGGGTGTCTTAAAAAATCATCTGACAAAGAACCACTAACCAGGAAAACAAAACTTATGTGAAAGCTTCTTGACATAGTGTAGATTAAAGTTTGTTTATATACCCCCAGGAGGTGGGTTGGGGCTACAAAAGATCAAAGTTCAACATGGAAATATAGAAGAAAAAATCTTCTTAAGAAAAGCAGAGCCATGATAAGTGATATTAATTTGCAAGCATCCTCAGGTAGTGTTGATCCAAGTTCATTCAAATCATGGCACCAGGGGGGTTGGGTGGGGCCACAATAGGAGATCCTAATTTTACATGTAGGATTTTTAGCTTACCTTGACGAAGTCAAAATGAGCTTTATATACTACACCCCTAGCATTAACGTAGGCATACAGGTTTAAGTTTTTTGGGCAAGTCCATTCCCAAATAACTATAAGCCCTAACTGGACCAAACTTGCATGGATGATGTATCTATGGATGAACACTACCAGACTTGCTAAGGATGCTGGATCTGCCCTACATTTTCCAGATGAGTGACCAGGATAAAGTTTTTGGAGCTGGTCCATTCCCAAGTAACTATAAGCCCTTGAGTCTACTTAAACCAAACTTGCTGGATATTGATCTGGGGAATGCACAGTAGTCATATAAATGAACTTGAATGACTATACATATAGTAGTTATATAGATGAACTTCTGACACTTAAATATTTGAATTGTATTTTTAGTAATATTTTAGTTTTTTTCAGCCATTGCGATTCACTGATAGATCGATACTACTGCCCATTTTTGGACAGTTTGGCATAATTTTGAATTATTGTTATGTGTATTTTTGTCTCTCTATCCAACTACTTTGTAAAAGGGTCATAATTTTATGTACATGGAAAAGGATGACTGCACTTAACGCCTGTTTTTGGGTCTTTTTCGGTTGCTTCTGTTGCTTTTATATCTATGCTTTTATATCTTATTCCATTTTTGTATGTTTATGAAAGAATCCTGTCAATTTGGAACCAAATTTAAATCTTAAAATGATTTTAGACTGTGAAACAATAAAATGATTCAATGTTTTTTGTCCTCACTGCTTTCCAAATATAGAGAATTTACACTTACCTGCCCTTGATTGAACATTAGATATGCATGAGAGGTGGAGCTAACATTGTAAGAACATGAAGAATGGGTCTAAAATTAGACTTGATAAATAATAATAACATGTTTGGAAAAAAGAACATGATCACTCTTTCCAATCTCCCTCTCCATTCTGTATGGCACAAATACACTTATGACAAAGGTTTCAAAACGAAATTAACAATATACACTGTAAGCACGTCAATGTAGTTAAAGCAGATTTTATATCTATGCCAGATGACTTAACGTGTTCGAATACAATGTCCTAGTTAGCACAAAACATGCTACCTTACAAGTCACGTGACGGAATTTAGTATTCACAAAGTTACCTGAGGTAAGAAATCACATGGTGAATTATAATATTCAACATGTCACAATCCTTGGTTACAACACAGAGAGCGAATGTAAGAAGAAGCAGTTTTTTTCTCTTTTGAACCATGAGCGCATGTTTGTCTATTAATCTCCTTTTGACACATTATTATTTATGCAAATATACAACTACTGTTAAATGTAGAACAATAGACAAACATGCGCTGACTATGTATAAAGTCAGTAAAAAAGTGGGCGTTCTCATTATCGAATGGAGATTGAAGAAATTGTGATGACCTCTGCCTTTGAAAACAGATTTGAACTTCATAAATACACACTTTTATTAAATGTAATTACATAAAGTTGTAGATTGGATGTTGACCATCCTTGCAATGAAAGAAAAATGCTTGTTTTGAAAGTTTATTTTGTCGCAAATTTCACATGTCCTTAAGTGCAGTCATCCTTTCTTGAAGGTCACACTAGTAAAATAACTTATTTATTACTTGCACCTTGACATAGAGCTATGGTCATTTAATCAATGTCATATTACCTGGGATTTGCAGCATAAAATGTTTTGGCTTAACTGAAGAAAGAGATTGAATATAATCAGCTGTGTCATGATCCATAATCATTTTGGTCACTGGAATAATGCTTATGTCATATTGCAAAGGTCACATGTGATTTGGAATCTAACAATCCTGTCTAGGCTCTCATGTAATAATGCAGAACATGTTCCCATATATGATGGATGGGTGTGACATTATTCAGACTCTATGACACTGCTTAATATTAATAGGTATATACATGTATGTACCATTTTTGTTTAAACAATAACATCACTTGGTAAGTATATTGCCACAAACAATAACAGGGTTTCCCTAAGAATTGAAATAGAAGGGGACATTTAAAAAGTAGAAGGGGATCTGGGGTTCCTCCCCTAATGGATTATTTAGAAGGAATACTAAAATAACCAGGGGATTACATCATTATAGGCGGGGAAATTCCCCAGCCCCCGGGTCTTAGGGACAACCCTACAATACACTCGGTTATTAAATACCTAGTGGCTACTTAGATTGAAGTACATTCATGACTCTTACTTTCACAACACTGTCAGTGTATATAATGTAAGTAGTATAGAATTGGTGATAGGTGGGCTACATTGTTTTTCAGATAGTAACCTTCAACCTTTCTTGGAGCAAATCAATCAGATTGATGAGAATGTGACAGCACTAGAGCAAGCAGCATACAAACTAGATAACTATTCCAAGAGGCTAGGTTTGTACTTAAATCTACTTTGGTATCTTGAACATTGATATCTCGAATATCATGGATATGTTGAAGTTATTTGGAAGTCCCAACCACTTATTCTTTAAGGATTTGACCCTCAATATCTCAAATCCTCGGACATCGTTTTTTGACCAAGATAATTATCGTATATACTCGTCTATTGAGCTTAAATTAGAGGGATTGACCCACTAAAATACCAATCTTGTTATAACTCGCGTATAAGTCGGATAAAGAGATTGGACCAAAGTTTAACTCCCAAAATTCGACTTATAGGCAAGTATATACGGTATTATGGCTTAATGAGAAAAATTTCACATTCTTTTATGATGACATACTGTAGCTGGGTTTGATTTTTATACCCATTCTCTTTGTGTTTATTCAAATTTTATAAAGCTTACAAGCTTATATCATCACCAAGTGTTAAAAAACCAGAAAGAATTGCTTAAATGTCCATATTGAAAATGTAGCACCTACCAAATTTCCATAATAGTATTACGTGTACTTAATATATGGTGTATTTCACTGTTGACAAGCACCTCTTTTTTCTATATCATTCTCTGAACCTTCTATACGAGTTTTATGACTACCATTATCAGGGTTAGAAACTCCCTAAAATTACAACTCGCAAATAATTGTGAGTACCAAGAAAGTGAACTCTCAATTTTATAAGACTACTCGCAATTTTCATATAAAGTTAAATTTATATAAATTAAATACATTTAAATTAAGGAAAAAGTAACTACTGTACAATACACAAAATACAGCTACAGTGTGACTTTTATTTAAATTACTGATTTAAATCAAAGGCATTGTGTTCTGTCCTATTATATAATTTTGCTACAGTTTCAATGCAAAAAAAATCAACTCGCAAGTTTTTGCGAGTTACCTAATTTTTAACTCGCAATTGGGGAATTCTAACTCATGTTTTGCGAGTTGTATATAGTGAATTTCGAACCCTGCATTATGCACTTTGAATCCTGATCCTTTGTTATGGCAGGTACAACAAATTACTCTCAAATTTTAATGACTGGTATTGTAGGCCTATTAAAGAATTTCTCAGTGGACTTTCCTTTGCTGTTGTGGACTAAATCAGAACCTTATTGCAGTTACCATCCCTACTGTTGCTACCATATTCACGTATACAATTATACTTATTAAACTTCTAATACTTTAATCTTACTTCATTTGATTTTTTTTTTATTTCAGAGAGTAAATTTAAAGCCTTGGAAAAGAGATAAGCCAGTACACAAATTTAAACATTTTGAATAATAAGTGCAATAATTTTCTTTGAACCAGTTTGGTTGTTTATTGATTGTTGTTATTATTGTATATATATATTTTTAAATAAATGTAACCCATGTCACTTTTTATTGTGGTTTCAATTTGTATTACAAGGTGATTATGGCTAGACAAAGGTTTGATGTGAATGCCTTGGAACTTCTTTACAATATTTGAAAATGCATACCGGTACAAGCTTGCATTAATTTGAAAAAAAAAAGACATGTTGCTTTGGTCCAGTTGTGGAGTTTTCATCTCTGCTGGTTAGAGACCAGAATAGCTTATGTGATAGCAAGGTGGCCATCCATCCGTCTATAATTTTTTTTCTTTTTCTAAAAGCTACTCCTCTTACAGTTTTAGTTCAATTTCACTAATACTTAGTACACACGTGCACTAAACAAAGATACATAACTCTTTGTTTTGGTTTTTGATTTAGACGAACAGTGTTGCCATGGTTACTAAAAAATGAAAATTTCTTTGAAATTCTTTCAGAAACACTCCTCCTCCTACAGTTTTGGTCCAATTCAATAAGACTTGGTACACAAATATACGGTAGTAAGATACATAATTCTGTATATCTATTTAATTCTGTATATCTCTATTTAATTTCAACAAACAAGTTTCAGTCTCGTTAGAGATTTCTGGGGGTTTTTTTATCCCATGTTAAGAGTTACCTGAAGTGAATTCTAATAATACATGTATTTTCTTTCCCCAAAAGGGAGGCATACCGTAAACATTCTGAACAAGAAGTCTGTGAGCCAATGCTCACTAGTAATACCCCTGCTTTGATGTGAATGTACACAAGTTCAGTTAGGGACAGACACAAGGATGAACAAGAAGTTGACATCAGATTCATACAAAAATGAATCCCACCATATTGCAGGCTTAAACAAAGAGTGTGCTAAAATTTCAAGCATCTGCAGTCAGTAGTCAGTAAACTGCGACTAAAATTTGTTCTGTATGGTACGGACAGACGCACATATGAACAGGAAGTTGACATCGGATGCGTATAAAAATGATTCCCAAAATATGGCATGCCTAAACAAAGGATGTGCTAAAATTCCAAGCATCTGCAATCAGTAGTTGCTGAGAAAATTGCGACCAAAATTTGTTATGTATGGTACGGACAGACACACAGATAAACAGGAAGTTGACGATCGGATTCATACAAAAATGAATCCCACCATATGGCATGCCTCAACAAAGTGTGTGCTAAAATTTCAAGCATCTGTGATGAGTAGTTGTTGAGAAAACTGTGACGAAAATTTTGTTACCGACAGACAGGCAGCTAGACACAATCTGCGAGAGTATCAAGAATAATTCTTGAACTTTTAAGAAAAGTTCATGAAATATATTCTTGAATCTGCTCATGAATTATTCATGAAGATCCTATGAAGTTAAAATTGGACACTCATGATTTCATGAATTTTATTCATGAAAACCAAGTTCAAGAATATTCAAGAATTGTGGGTTGTTCATGAATTACTTACTACTCTTGAAAATTCATGAACTTCCTTATAGAATTCATGAAATCATAGTGTCCTGTGAATTTTAGCTTCATTAGATCTTTCATGAACATTTCAGGAACTTTTTAAGAATATTATTCTTGAATTACGTAATTTGACAGAAGGCCAAATTGGCAAAACCACTGTGAGTACCCTCAAAATACATGTACATAAACATTCTATTTAAATATTTGATAATATATAAATAATGACTACAATATTCTAAACTAAATGCTATGTGTTAAATTCATTGAATTTATAAATGTATACAGCTTTTAGCCAACACACTCTTAAACAATTACATGTACAGCCTGGATCAGTTTCAGAATCTTAAACAACGCTTGTGTTCTTCTTATGGCAGGTTCAAGTAAGTCAGATGCCTGTGGTGCATTTGTTATCCCTGTCAACTTTGCTTCTTGACTACCAAAAATGAATTTTTCTCTATGGGTGTCTGCTGGATCACTCACTAATTCATCCAAAATTGAAATCCATCCTTTAAATCATGACATGGTTTTTTTTCTAGCTCTTTTACAATAGGCCTTTTTTTCATTTCACTCTCCCTGAAATTACATATACATGTATATAATGATATGCCAAATAGAAATAAATATTACAGGGAACAGGATACTTTTAAATAATATTGGAATTGTGGTGATGCTGCAACTGGAGGCCAGAAAAAAATACAGGAATTACCTGTCTTTTATACAGAACACTTGGTCTTTAATTTATTTATAAAGAGTCAGGAATCCTCAGAGACGAGTCAAAGTCAATTTGTTTTAATCAGTAAAGAAAATTTAAAAATGATTTTAGTTTCAATTTAGAATCAAGTTTCCTTTTTTTCTTTAATTTGAGCTAGTCCATGGGCACACGGGGGTGTGTATGCCCCCCCCCCCCTTTCCATTTTTTTTATTATAAAATATTAAAAAATATATATATATATTCTGAGACCAAAACACACAAGTTTTTTAAAATAAATTTTTAAAATATATTTCATTAAAATTCATTTCATTTAACAATAACTGAAATCATATTTCTCTCCGAGATATTTTTTTTTAAAATCACGTTTGTTTGGCATGCGTGCAACAAGTGTGCTAATCAACAAATTTGGAACCAAAATAATTAAAGAATTATGTTCTTACCACATGCTTTCTGTATTGCAGTCCTTTCTTTCGATGAATATAATAGTTAACACTCCATTAAAAAAATGTTGACAGAATCTAGATCTATCGACAATCTTCTGACAATGCAATGCACATCTTCCTTCCTTTCAATCTATTGAAAATTTGGCGCTCGCGTAACTGCTTAACTAATCAGTAATGATGTTATAAATCAGCTACCAGAAGCGTCCAATCAAACGACGTTTTCTAAAAACGATTGAGGTTGCGATTCAAATCATACCCGTAATATTAATTGGCCGCCAAAGTATTCTTGTTTGGGGTACCTTGATAAAAAATGGTATATAAATAGGCCTAGTTAATCGTGGACAGGTACTATTAAATAAAGTTTTGTTTTTTTAATTATATTTATACCAACGTTTCTACAAACTTTAAAAAAATCTTTGAATAAAAAGGGTGTGAAAAATTATTGATACGAATTGCCTCGCCACCCGCTAAAAAGATGGCGGCCTTTTTGTTTTTCGGTGGGCGATAGAAGTTTGTAAACTTGAGAATTTACAATATAGACTGCATTGGAGGTTATATTTTAAATGTACACCATCCAAACAACATCCACAGAAAGACCAGCACTGTTACGCCTGCATTCATCATCTCATAACACGAGTAAGTTTTCATCTGTTTTATACATGTTACAGTCGGGGGATGGATATCGTGTGCACAACCAGCAAGGTTGTTGTTTCATATGTTCTTAAATTAATTATATTTTTATGGCCCTATTTATTGTTTGGTTTCTTCGAATTTCAAAATGAGATTGGCAAGGCATTTGCTTTTTTCTCAAGAATGAAACAAGAGGGAGATAAAATACGATTTAAAATTATGTATACAGTGTTGTTAGTTGACAGAGTTTGACACAATCCGTGTCCTCACAGATTACTTAGTAAGCAAAAAGTACCGATATTATGTGGAAATATTTTTATAAAGTATTTAAACTTAATTTTTTTTTAAATTATCTAGCTTATTGAATTCAGGGAAAACGATTGTGTTTCTATTTATACATCAAAATTATTCACAAAACTTGAAACTTAAGTGATCACAGGCATACTAGACGTATAGATTACCTACTTTGAAACTATGCAGATAGTTGCTGAATGTTTTGTTTATTTTTGTTTTGTTTTTTGTCAATGTCTATTCATTTAAAATATAACTTTCACTAAGAGCGTACAATTTTTACAGGTCTAACAAAGAAACAACTAGAACTGAAATATCCCAAAAGACTGAAGAATCAGCGGCAAGAATCAGTTATGTTTATCAGTAAAGGAGAATTGACAGGAGTATGATTCTTATGGAACCAAGTTGTTTTGGATCTTCTCATGCAAGCACACAATTTGAAACTGACATCATAGACAAGACTAATATGATATCTTTTCAGATGATCGGCAACATGTTTATTAACCTCACAATTTTTATTTTCTACTTTAAGATGTTACCTTATAAAAAAAATAAATATATATGTTGTAAATTTTAGAACCATTTATGCCCATGAACAAAAATGTTGCAATAGGCATGGAGGCTTTTTTTAAATTATAAGTTTTAGGGATCAAATATTTTTTTTTTTTTTGTAACATACTGGACTGTGAGTGATGGTTATCATTACTTGAAAACATTGATGATTCATGTATTTCTTAGATGGACATGAGAAAATACAATTCATGTTAATGTGTATGTACCACAATTGTATACATCTTTTGCATTTTAAGATGTAAATTTACGTAAATTCCCTGATTTGCAACTTATTACTGATAGTCTGTAATGATGTTAAAAAAATCCAACAAGCTTTTCTGTCTATTTAGTCTTTCCATTTCAACATTGAACAGTATTGTAATACATGTATTGTTAAGCAATTACCAATGGAGAACACTCAGTTAATTAAAATTGTACTTAAAATTCAATATCAATAAATTTGAATCATTATCGAATTTAAATTGTATTGAGTCATGAATAATCATGAATAATCATGAAACGTGTTGCTGTGTAATGTTGAAGATTTTCGAATTTCATAAAGGTTCATCATTGTTCATGAAGTATAAATTTTTTTCAGTATGAATGTGTTCATGAATTATATTCATGAACTACTTTTATGAAACTATTATGAATCTTTTATGAGCATTCATGAACAATGATGAACAACTCATAAAAGTTCTTTAAGTCATGAATATCATCTCGCAGGGGATGGACAGACAGACACACACACAAGGGTAAAACAGTATACCCCCCTCCTTCGGAGCGGGGGCATAATGAAGAAATGTAAAGTTTGCTCTTGCACATGACCTTAAGGTGCTAGTATATATCAGTGCATCTTGACTCAAGGTTATGTTGTTAAAGACAAGTTCACTGTTGAAAGAGAAAAGGAAACCTTCTAAACTCTAACTGTTGAACTTTTGATTGGAGCTTAAAATCTGTCAAAAACTCTAACCTTTTGATTGGAATGGATTTCAACTTAAGTAATGTTGCTCATAATTTAATGGTGCATGTATGATGATCTTAACTCAAGCTTGCATCAAAGTCATGTCACTAGACAATGAGATACTGAATTTTTTAGACCAAATCTGGGACCTTTTTATATTTTTTAGCTCACCTGAGCTGAAAGCTCAAGTGAGCTTTTCTGATCACATTTTGTCCGGCGTCCGTCTGTCTGTAAACTTTTCACATTTTCGACTTCTTCTCAAGAACCACTGGGCCAGTTTCAACCAAACTTGCCACAAAGTATCCTTGGGTAAAGGGGATTCAAGTTTGTTCAAATGAAGGGCCATGCCCTCTTTCAAGGGGAGATAATTAGGAATTAGTGAAAAAATAATGGCAACATTTAAAAATCTTCTTCTCAAAAACCATAGGGCCAGGAAAGATGAAACTCATGTGGAAGCATCCTCAGGTAGTGTACATTCAAGTTTGTTCAAATCATGACCCCCGGGGGTAGGGCGGGGCCACAATGGAGGATCAAAGTTTTACATAGAAATATATAGGAAAAATCTTTAAAAATCTTCTTCTCAAGAACAGCAAAGTCATGATGAGTCATATTTATATGGAAGCATCTTCACGTAGTGTAGATTCAAATTTGTTAAAGTCATGACCCCCAGGGGTAGGGCGGGGCCACAATGGAAGATCAAAGTTTTACATAGAAATATATAGGAAAAATCTTTAAAAATCTTCTTCTCAAGAACAGCAAAGTCATGATGAGTCATATTTATATGGAAGCATCTTCAGGTAGTGTAGATTCAAAATTGTTAAAATCATGACCCCAGGGGGTAGGGCAGGGCCACAATGGAGGATCAAAGTTTTACATAGAAATATATAGGAAAAATCTTTAAAAATCTTCTTCTCAAGAACAACAAAGTCATTATGAGTCATATTTATATGGAAGCATCCTCAGGTAGTGTAGATTCAAGTTTGTTCAAATTATGACCCCCGGGGGTAGGGCGGGGCCACAATGGAGGATCAAAGTTTTACATAGAAATATATATATAGTGAAAATCTTTAAAAATCTTCTTCTCAAGAACAGCAAAGTCATGATGAGTTATATTTATATGGAAGCATCCTCAGGTAGTGTAGATTCAAATTTGTTCAAACCATGACCCCCAGGGGTAGGGCGGGCCACAATGGAAGATCAAAGTTTTACATAGAAATATATAGGAAAAATCTTTAAAAATCTTCTTCTCAAGAACAGCAAAGTCATGATGAGTCATATTTATATGGAAGCATCCTCAGGTAGTGTAGATTTAAATTTGTTCAAATCATAACCACCGGGGGTAGGGCGGGGCCACAATGGAGGATCAAAGTTTTACATAGAAATATATAGAAAAATCTTTAAAAATCTTCTTCTCAAGAACAGCAAAGTCATGATGAGTCATATTTATATGGAAGCATCTTCACGTAGTGTAGATTCAAATTTGTTAAAGTCATGACCCCCAGGGGTAGGGCGGGGCCACAATGGAAGATCAAAGTTTTACATAGAAATATATAGGAAAAATCTTTAAAAATCTTCTTCTCAAGAACAGCAAAGTCATGATGAGTCATATTTATATGGAAGCATCTTCAGGTAGTGTAGATTCAAAATTGTTAAAATCATGACCCCAGAAGGTAGGGCAGGGCCACAATGGAGGATCAAAGTTTTACATAGAAATATATAGGAAAAATCTTCTTCTCAAGAACAACAAAGTCATTATGAGTCATATTTATATGGAAGCATCCTCAGGTAGTGTAGATTCAAGTTTGTTCAAATTATGACCCCCGGGGGTAGGGCGGGGCCACAATGGAGGATCAAAGTTTTATATAGAAATATATATATAGGAAAAATCTTTAAAAATCTTCTTCTCAAGAACGGCAAAGCCATGATGAGTCATATTTATATGGAAGCGTCCTCAGGTAGTGTAGATTCAAATTTGTTCAAATCATGACCACCGTGGGTGGGGCAGGGCCGCAATGGACTATCAAAGTTGTACATAGAAATATATAGGAAAAATCTTCTTCTCAGGAACAGCAAAGCCCAGATTGTTCATATTTATATGGAAACATCCACAGGTAGTGTAGACTCAAATTTATTCAAATCATGACCCCCGGGGTAGGGCGGTGCCACAATGGAGGATCAAAGTTTTTACATAGAAATGTATAGGAAAAATTTTAAAAATCTTCTTCTCAGGAACAGCAAAGCCCTGATTGATCATATTTATGTGGAAGCATCCTCAGGTAGTGTAGATTCTATTTTGTTCAAATCATGACCCCCGTGGGTAGGATGGGGCCACAATGGAGGATCAAAGTATTAAATAGAAATATATAGGAAAATATCTTCTTCTGAAGAACTGCAAACCATGATTAGTCATTTTGATATGGAAGCATCCTCAGGTAGTGTAGATTCAATTTTGTTCAAATGATGACCCCCAGGGGTTGGATGGGGCCCATTGGGGGATCCAAAGTTTTACATAAGAACATATAGAAAAAATATTTCTTCTCAAGAACAGGAAAGCTATGTTTAGTCATATTGATATGGAAACATCCTCAGGTAGTGTAGATTCAAGTTCAAACGATGACCCCTGGGATAGGAAGGAGCCACAATGGAGGATCAAATTTTTACAAAGGAATATATGGGAAAATTTTTTTAAAAAATCTTCTCAAGTACAATAAAGCCATTTGTTATATTGACATGGAAGCATCATCAGGTAGTTTAAAATTCAACCCCCCCTCCCCCCCCCACCCACCCCCAGGTAATCTCTGATTTGTGCTTTTGCCTAGCCAATGTGCTCAGGTGAGCGATGTGGCCCATGGGCCTCTTGTTTGCAGATGAGCTAGGTGTTCAGTTTGACCTTGAGACATATACGGTTGATCTTCTGAATTTCAAATACCATGGATATGTCAAAGTAATCTGGAAGTCCCAACCACATATTCTTTAAGTATTTTAATTTTTACCCTTGATATCTTGAATCCTCAGTTATATAGATTTTTCTTGGTCCCATTGAGTTCAAGATATTGAGATGACTGTATCTCAAAAGTTTACATTACTAGGCAATTTTTAGCTTTTGAAATTGTATCAATGGCCATAACTGCTACCTTTATTTTTAATGGGCTGCAACTTAAAAAAGATTGTTGCTTGCGACCTAAATGACCTTGACTCAAGGTCATATTTTAGAGTTAAGTTACTGGGCATTAATACTTTTCCCAGACAGGGAATAATAAAAAAAAGCTAACATTTAATGGTTCTTTACCAATCTAAACACCGATAGTAATTGGACATTAATATACTGTAGACATACATGTACATGCACTTTTTTTCCCATGTACGATTAATTTATGGTCAATTTTTCTGCGGAATTTTATCACAGAGTACTTAAAATTTATTAAGGACATATTAAACGACAATCTAAGAAATCTGTGTAATTTTCTACTTGCTGATTGAACAAAAATTGTGATTCCGCAGAATGACCCCGTAGAAAAAAAGCACGCTTACAGTGGTTATAAAATTCCTCATTTAACTTTTAAATCAACCAACAACAATACAAAGATTTGATTTGGAATCTACTCATTTATTCACTACAGTGAAAAAGGATATTACTAGTGCAATATAATGTGGTTTTACTTTCATTTCCATACAACTTTCAACATTTAATAAATCAATATATATTAACACAGTGAAAACATAACCATGAAAATGATTACCATTAAAACTGTCAAGTACAGATATCTTTATACATAAAACCACAAAACATTACTCTAAAGATGTATTAAAATGTGACTCATACTTGGTCTAAATGGTCATTACACTACATCAAAAAACAAATGCTTTATGAACATGACACAAACAGGTAATAAGTTTAGAGATGTTGTATGCCAGCATGGAGGTTAATTTAACCCAACATCTTTTAAAGTATTAAAACTGTTATAAACAAACTTTCTATAAAACATTGCCAACCACCATCACAGAAAGATTAAAACTTAATAAATAACTTTCTAAACAAAATGATCATATCACAAACTTTAAAATGTGGCACCTATTAAGACTATGATTTATAAATATTAACAAGAGAAGAACAATTCTACATGGTTTCACAAACCAACCCACCTTAGATAACTTGCAATATTAACTTTTAAGTTTAACATTAACCAGAATAAATAAAAATAAAACTTTTATTACAGTCTTCAGGAATCTTAATACATGAACCTATTTTATTTTCCACAAATACATGCATGGCATAGTAGAAAGTTAATGAATTCTCACTTTCTAAACTTTCATACAATTTGAGAGTGCTGCCTTTCTTTGTTGATGTTTATACAAGTAGTATTTTCTCTCATAAAACAATACACATTTCATGTACATGAAAATGAATTTTAAATACCTGTGCAAAGAAACGTCATGAAAATTTAAGATTTTAATATTTTCTTTCAAAGCACAATCATAATTGTTTCTGATTTTGATTCAATTTGTGTATATCTAATTAATGTGCAAATAAAATCAATGAGGCCTTAAGTTTGCATTCTTTGTACCACTTTTACATTGAAATTTATTAACTAAGTTTATCTACGCCCTTCAAAGATAATCATGCTTATTTTTTTTGAAAAGTACACATAATTTGATCAAAATAGACACCTACGCATAAATAAAATCAGAAGTTTCAGTCAACATGATTAATTTTTTTCATAATAAGATTGAAGTTTTTCTTAGGTATAAAAAAAATTTTAAAAAATGAAAAAGAACAATTTATCAAAGTACAAAAACATCAATTTCACTGATAGCATAATTCAGTATTGTAAATTATAGATGGTGTTGGAGCATGCAAGTATCAAAAATTTCCAATAAAATTCAATTTAAATTTCCTCAGTTCTGTAATAAAAAAATGTTTATACAATAATTACACAATAACAATATGCTCAGGAATTTCCCTCCCTGGCATCAATGCTATTATGGAGAAAATGATTTTTTTTTTTTTAAGTTACCTCTTGTGCATATACAGTTTTGCCAGGATTTCAAGAATCATATATATTTAAATGTATGTGTATGTACATGAAAAAAAAACCCAGTCTGTATGATGATAAAAACTACTCACTCTTAACAAAATTTTTAACAAGTTTTACGTACATTTACTGGTACATGTAAAATTAAATCTCTAGGCATGCACCATTCACAACGTAATGAAAATTCATTCAAGAAATTTCAATGCTATACTATAGATCAACAAGGAAAAAGTTAACAGCGCACTGAAAAAAGGGTACAACACCAAATATAAATCTCTTCAGTTTTTAACACACACAACTATATCATAATTACTCCATAGATAGACATACTCCTGCTGTTTCCAAGTCTAGGAGTCGAGCTTCCCGAGCTCACTCGTATACACAGCTACACTTTCCGAGTCGTACAAAACAAAGTAGACCTGTTTGAGTGAACTCGTCATACAGGTAACGAAGTAATTACTAATTGATCTTAGGATGATTTGAGCTGCCGTCTGCTTAGGAAATCCAGCACTAAAAAAAAAGAATACAAATTAAAATGTCTTGTAGCTGTTAATCTGTTGACTTCACTTTTGACAGAAAAAAATTCCTTCAATTTAGTTTTAAATGAAAATATGTGTATAATCAACTTGATTGAACTGCATCAGAATTTACAGATTAAATGAAAAATCCCTCTGATTTTGTTAACTTTGAACAAACATCAAAATACATGTTCATGGATACTGTTTACAAGTAAGAATATATAGAATAATTCCTCATCCTGTACCTTTCAAGAAGCTGGCAATGATTGCATGCATATTCTAAATATAAAGTTCTAGAAACACCTAGCCATTACAAGTACTTATACATGTGAAGAAAATCAAGGCCCCATGACCAATAGCTTTAGGCTTTTATAATCTGCCTTTTTTGCTATGCTACATGTAGAACAAGACATGGCATTTTATAATTTCTATGCACTTAGAGTACATGCATTTCTTTCACTTGTGTATCTTACCGTCCACTGCCTATGGATGGGAAAGCAATGCTGGACAAATTCTTTTCCTCAGCAAGCATTAAACAACTCTTAACAGTTTTATCTAACAGTTGCATAGCATCATTTGTTTTCCAAGTTGGGCCATGACAGTGAATTACAAATTTGGCAGGGAAATTGTGACCTGGACATATGGCAGCTATATAAATACAACAAAAAAGTTGAAAAAAACCCAGAGGCCACAGTTATTAAGCAGTACATCTGTGTCCAAAATACAGTTAAAATTCTCGTGGAAAATCAGAAGAAAATTTCCAAATTTTTCATTTATACTTTTATGGATCCAGTTAAAGTATGTACCCAAAAGAATTATTTGTAAAATATTTCTTCTCATTCCACAAATTTTGAACTGTACTGTAGGACACGAGAAACCCTGAAGCATGCAATGAAGTGCTGTCCTAACTTACTTTCCACTGCCTATAGAAGGAATGGCTATAGATTTAAGATTTTTCTCATCTGCTAGTTTCAGAACATTCTTTACAGCTTTCTCCAAAAGTTGTTGTGAGTTGCCAGTCCCACCACTCCATGTTGGGCTGTTAACATGGATTACAAACTTGGCAGGAAAGTTATGACCAGGGCAGATTGCAGCTGCAAATAAGGCTAAATTTGTAATTTCATGCAAAATTAAAATGCTGATTTCTTCTGAGTTGTGAGCCCCTCTTCACCTGAAATTTGCCATAAAAATTAATGTACCATCTTGCATGCTTCTTGGTTTGAATCAAAATCATTTTAAACTCAGTCTCATGCAATTACAAGTACCTTGGCCTTCACAATTCAAAACACCATATAGAGGTATAGTATTAATACAATTCTAAGATATCAATGGAACACATACAAGGGATGCATTAGTAAATTTTGTAGAATTTTGTATTGTATTTTATTCATTGATGTGAGTTCGATATAAAATGCTGTACTTTTTAATGTAATGATCTCAATATTGACTATCACCTATGACATTATTTGAAAAGGAGACTTAAACTACATTTCTAGCATTTCCTTTAAAAAAAATGTTCATTTGCTGCCAGGTACAGTATATACACAGTTGCAGATGGATTGCATTCTACAGTGCAATCTAAAAATAATTTTTTCCATGTTTGATATTTGTTCTTACTGCTCAATGTTATGTATTTTACATGTGTTTTTATAAAGATGTAAAAATTTCTAATGTTTCTGACCAGATACCTATTCAAAATTTTCCAAGTATTCATAGGATAAATGTTAAACTTTTGAACAAAAATTTGGAATGAACGCTTTCATAAATTTCAATTCAATTTATTGTTTTTTTTTTCTTTAAATACCAATTGGTCATTTAATATATAAAGAGAAACCAACATTGAGAAAATTTCATTCATTTCTGATATAAGCGAAACTGAAAACTATTGGCAGCTTCTAGTACCACATAGAGTATTACAATGTCCTGGTAAATATCAATACTTGAATGTTAAATAAACATAGGCCAGCAAGAAATGATCTGCGATTAGGGTTTCCTTGCAGACTCTGTTATCCCTTTTACCCACGACTTCCTAAAAAAATATATCTGTATCCAATCCAGACTCTACTGTTTCATGATTTTTTTCAAAATAGAAAGTTGAATGAAATGTTTAAATTTAGACACAATAACATATAATATACATTGTGGTGAGTAAAGTCTGTGTATCAGAAAACCTACAATACAGTTATACATTCATTTCTAAGAAAATCTGAGAGACCTAACTTATTTTATTTTAGCTGGAAACCCAAAGCACATATATTTTTTTCTGGCCTTACTGCATCATTTCAAGTTAACAACTGGAAGGATTTTTTTACACACTTTATTTACAGTTAAAAACTTAAAACAGAACAAGGAAAATTTTAAAATGTATACGTTTTAAACATGAAAAAAAGTTACCTCCTGCTGTGTCCAGATTTCCATGAGCTTTGCTTAAATCATCAATTTCTTTTCTAAACTCTTTACCACCTGCTTTTTCTAAAGCTTGTCCTGAAAATTGAAACACAAATTCAACTTAAGTCACCACTCTGCATACCCCAACAAACTGTGATACTAATTGGTATGACATGTTTAGAAATGACTTGTTATCTAGAAATGTTAACACATACATACCTACTTCACCACCCATGTAAAAGTTACTACTAGTGGGATGCACGATACTGTCAGCAGTTATTTTGACCAAATCTCCCTGAATAACTGTCATCTAAAATGTAAAACATCATTTTAAAATATGCAGAAACATACAAAAGTACTTTTAATTAATACTTTTATGAAAAAATGTTAACAAATTTTTTGGAAAAAGTCTTGACTAATTTTAGCTGTGAAAATGGCTGATGCAATTAACAATTGTTCTGACAGGCCTGCATTTGAGTCTGAACACACAAACATTCTTACTGACAACCATTCATGCAATAATATAAACTGCACACATGGCATTGCAACCATACAAGTGGAATTTAAATAAATTGTAAATTTAGTTCAATTTTCATAACAGACATGATTCAGCAAAATCAGGCAATGAGTACCCCTATCTTACACTGACATGAACTTTTTATTCAGACCTTTTGTCCTAAAAAGAGTTTCTTTTCCGACAATATTGTGAATCCTCCACCAGACGTGGCAGCCACTGCATCAGCTGAAGGTTTGAATCCCTAAATCAACAAAAAACATTACACTACAGGTACACACAATTCTTTCTGATAGGTTTTATGTGATGTGTGGGCTCTTCTTCTCAGTGCAGTGTAGTATGTAATACATTTTTTCTATTTCAGTAAAACTTGTCAAATCCAGATGTGTATTCTGAAATCTTGTCTAAAACAATGAAAATTTGTAGTCCAATTCATAAGTTCAGTTGTTTAAAATGTTGTCTTATCAAGCAAATTTTCATGGAACTAGTGATGTCCTTTTAGACATTTTAGCTATACTTTCGAAGCTTGAGACATATCCTATATATCTGATCACTTTTGGTTCACGTCTGCTTTCAATAACTTGATTTATTATTAACATTCTACAACTTTAATTTTGTTGCATTAAGTTTATTATGAAGACAACTGCCTTGTGCCCAAAATGAAAGACCCACCACTGTAACTTACTTATTAATTAAGAATCTTATGATATATAAGATTGAAATAGATTCAGGTGTCCTACCTTTGGTGGTTTAATGGCCTTCATTTTCGCGGCTTTTCCCCCTTTGGTGGGGGATGGTGGTGGTGATGCTGCAGGAATCACCTTGGGTTTTTTAGGAGCACTGGGGCCAGCTTGGGTAGCTGGAGTGACAGGGGGTTTAATCTGAATTCCTCCCCTCTTTCTATGGAGAAGCTCATGATGTATCCATGGCAACACTCCTCCCGAAGCAATAGTAACATGCTTCAAAAGCTAAGGATATAAAAAGTGACAAATAAACTACATTGTATCCTGTATTTGTAAATATCAAATATTTCAGTTAGTACTTCTAAATGGGGGATAGCATTCAAGGATGGGTCAAGGATTCAAAGTCGGGGGGGGGGGGGGGGGGGTCCAGCTGTGAAGACAGGAGCAAGGGTCTGGACTGTCTTGATGCCCTTAATGGATCAGGATGAAGCCCAGGTTGGGGCCCATGAGACAAAGCCTTTTGAAGCTCCTGGATTCTGGAGATTTTGTAGGGCAAAAATAGTCTTCTAAGAAGTCATTTTCACTTTAACTTGTCATACTCTGAACAAAAAAGCTTATACAGGCCATGGCTGCTGCTTTATCCAATTAATATGTATTTTTAGAATTTTACACATATCACACAAAAAGAAAAATATGTTCAAATCAAGGCCTCTGAAACCTGCAAGAATCCTTTTTGCAATCCCTTACCTGCTTTAATTCTTCATCATTAGCCACAGCTAGAAGTATGTGTCTAGGAGTCACTCTTCCCTTCTTATTGTCTCTTGCTGCATTGCCAGCCAATTCCAGTATTTCAGCTATAGGACCAAAAAAAAAAATTAATGAATCTTACCTATTTATTGACAAGAACATGCAATTTCTTTGAGTTATATTAATGACAGGTAAAATTACATTTTATTGAGGAAATCCACTTAATATGGACCCTCCCATTCCTCTTCCATTATTAATTTTATAGAAAGGAGGATTGATCATCCCAAACCTGAACATTTCGAAAGAATTTAAACCCTAATTACTGCTTTGAAAATACATATAATACAACCTTTAAATAAATCATGATTAAGCATAATCAAAAACTTAATTTGTAGGTTCTAGTTAATTTTAAGTTTAAAAAAAGTTTGGAAGATCCGCGCCTGTACTTGATGCTGCTAAACTGCATCTACGTGATGGGCGTATGCAAAATCCAGACATTCTGTATTCAATCAATGACACTGCAAGGGTCCAGACCACAAACCCTAAACTATATTTAGTTCAATTCCCAGTTATCGTAAGCACGATGTGCATTCACAGTACCCGTTAGATATTCGATGACAGCTGCCATGTACACAGGAGCACCTGCTCCGATACGGAAATGATGGGTCATCCCTTTCAAGTACCGTCGCATTCTAGCCACGGGGAAAAGCACACCGGCTTTTGCAGATTTTGACGTAGGCTTCTTCTTCTTTGCACCTCTGGCTGACATTTTGACTATTTTGATGTTGTCAGCAAAATTAAAGCGACCAATGGGCAACGCAAATGTTTTGTTGACTCTAAATACTAACAAGTATCGGCATATCAACACGACAACAGGAAGTTCGGAATAACCGGCGGCGTGCCTATTTCACGCCCCCTTTTTTAAGTAAAGAGTTTTGTCGCCCTCTCATCTGCAGCAAAATCCTTTGCATCAATGAATTGTAAAAAAAAATTTATATAACAAACGTTAAGGAAGCTCGAAATAACAATCTGTCAACCTGTGGCAAGCTCTGCAGTAAATTCACCGAGGGAGGTAATATGAACAGCAATATATTAGTTCTGTTAGACTGGCAATGTTATAAGCCCTTTTTGCTTAACTGCGGGATTAAATATCGCGCATGCGCTGAAGTACCATGGGGTGGCAAAAAGAATCATGGTGAAAAGTTGTTGTGTTGTTGGGTGTACTAACCGAGCCACAAAGGACTGTAAGGTGTCGTTTTTTAAGTTTCCTGCAAATAAAACGAAAAGGCGAGCATGGGTTAATGCTGTTAACAGGAAAGGCTGGTTGCCTAACAGCAGCAGCAGGATATGCAGTGAACATTTCGAGACGGGTTGGCACTCGGATGACCGTGAAGACCGTAATTACAGGCCGACATTATTTTCTTATAAGTGTACAAAGGAACAAAACAGTGAAAGATTTACAAGAGCATTCAGGAGAAATCTGACAAAGGTATGATAATTTGTATTATATAATACGAATATCTTATTTCAACATGCATTACAAACATGTCAACCCGAGATTCCTCTGTTGTCTACCTTATACCCATTAATTTGACGTGACATTTAGCCTGATTTGAGCTGGTCGCAATTCCAGGCTAAATACGTCTTATTGTACCAAATTTATTTATTAAAGTCTATTAAGATTAAATATTTCATCCCATTTCAAATATGTACAAGTCACTGCAAGTCATTTAATATTCATTAATGTGCTAATTTTTCTGGTTATTTAGATTTTCCTGGTGTAAATATGGCACAGTTACTTATTTGTTTTAGATTAGTGATTTGATTAATTGAAACTGTCCTCTTAACAATAGTGCAACTGTCAAACTGTTAAATAATTGAAATATTCAGTGTGCAGTTGCTATTTGTTTTGAAAAGTTTCACAAGCTACCCCATCTTTGCTGGTCAAAGTATGCTGGTCATTTATATGGGGAACCTGGATTCTACTAGTGCCATAAAGTAAGATCTATCCATATACGTTAAATTTGCTGGTTAAATTTGATGGAAAGAAGCACTTATCATATTTATATAACTGCACAGCCGTATTATACATTTAGTGTAGTACATATTTTGTTTGTCAAAATGTGCATTTACTTTGTATATCTGTGTTTAATGAAAAAATATTTAAATTTAAGGAATAAAGCATAAACAATTAACATGAGGTTTATCTTTTGTTTTCGAAGCTTAGAGTTAATTTTATTTGTAATATTATTGTTAGATGTAATTGATTTTTTCCCCTAGACTTTTGAGGAAGCAGCTGCAAAACAAGAACATTTAGAGAGAACCAGACTAGAGGCATCCATAAGAATGCATAGCTACAGTGTCCCTGAAGAGCAGCAGGCATCTCCAGGGAAATTGTACAATGTAAATGTATTTCATGAAGATGATGACATTGACATAGGTGTAGTCCTTACAGCTGATGAAGGTTTGGACTGTTTATTTTCCCAAAAGTATTTGCTTTGAAGTTAACTTATTTCTAAGTATTGAATTATTTTTTGAAAGATATAGTCCCATAACTGCAACAAGTTGAGCAACATGCATTAGTGTGTTATGAAAATTTGTTTGCTCACACCGCGTTGCTGTTATGAGACAATGTCTTTAAAAAGAAAATGATTCAATGTTTATATTTACATTTGTAACTCCTTGTCTTGTGTGCAAACATGATTTTCACTTCAAAACTCCTGTATTATCCTTTCGCTAAGTTACAATTAATGGAAGACTTAGAGCAATTGCAATCTTTTCAATCTGAGTGTGATTTTTAATTTTTGCTTAAATGATATTGCACTTGCATGGCCTTCAACATTTTTAACGTTAAAATAAAATGCATACTTTAATCTTTTGACCCCGTGTCCTGGTTATGGTATTTTGAATGTCACAGCTTTGCACACACTTTATAAGCAAACAGCATGTGGAATGTAAATACAGATGAACTTTGGTATCTCGAACACTGATATCTCGAATACCATGGATATGTCGAAGTGATTTGGAAGTCCCAACCCCTTATTGTTTAAGTATTTTACCCTGGAAATCTTGAATCCTCGGATATCTCAAAGTTTTTCCTCGGTCCCATTGAGTTTGATATAACAAGGGTTGACTGTATTACATTTTGAATACCAAAATTGATGTTGACTTTTTATTATGATGCTTTAATGGCAGGTAGCTGCAGTTAATAAAATCAACATGCTCCTCCTCACACACACAAAAGATACTTATGTTTTAATGTGATGGAGACCAATTGCAATGTATAGTCATTAATAGGTTCACAGTGTGACACTGATCCTCTTCTCCAAGAGAATGCCTTGTTGAAGGAGGAAAACATGCTTCTGAAGGAAAAGCTGCATAAACTACAATGGGGTGTAAACAAAATTAAAGATGATGATGTTGCAACAAGATTCTACACTGGGTTGCCCAGCTTCCCTGTTTTCCTCTGGCTGTACAAGTACAGTATTTTTAGGTCACCTGAGTTGAAAGCTCATGTGAGCTTTTCTGATCACCCATGATCACCCATTGTCCGTCGTCCGTCCGTCTGTAAACTTTTCATATTTCCAACTTCTCAAGAACCGCTGGGTCAATTTTAAGCAAAGTTGGTACAAAGCATCCTTGGGTAAAGGGGAGTGTAAATTGTTAAAATGAAGGGCCAAGCCCCCTTACAAGGAAGATAATCAAGAAAAGACAAAAATAGGGTGGGGTCATTAAAAAATCTTCTCAAGAACAGCTGGGCCAGAAAAGCTGAAACTTATATGGAAGCATCCTGGGGTAGTGTAGATTCTAAATTGTTCAAATCATGACCCCGGGGGTAAGGTGGGGCAACAATAGGTATTACAAGGGTGGAAATCTGGTGAAGAAGATCAAGGCCAAAGTTAATCAGGTGAGTGTTGTGGCCCATGGGCCTCTTGTTTTTATATGTATTAAATGAGCATCCTACATTTCATACAAAGACATGTAATATCAAATAAAATAGAAAAAGAATAAAAAAAAACTTTTGTGCAAGGTTGAAGGTACATGTATCATCTTAAGATTAGAACAGAAAAATGCATGTGCACAAGGGAGCTAATTCCTGAGTACTGTAGAATCAGAAATATTTGTTGGGGATTTAATTTCATTTATTTCTTTGTTAACAATAATCAACGAAATTAAATCCCACAAGAAATTTTATATGACTATATGATGAGTAGGAGTACATTCGTAACAACAAATTTTAATGCACACGAAACCCTTTTAGATGGCAAATCAACAAAATTTTATCCCCATGAAAATTTGTGCTTCTACAGTATATTCCATAATGAATGGACATTCAATTCTCTTTTGCAGTTTCCTACTTCCTAAGGCAAGATCTATGACCTATTGGATTGGTGAAGGTACGTCAGAGACAGGAAGGCAGAGGCCAAACAAAAGTACTCTCCCTCTCATTGATCAGTTGCTGGCCGTTCTTATGCGTCTGAAGGTTGGGCTTTTAGTAACTGATATTGCTGAACGGTTCGGAATCTCAACATCAAGATTTTCTTCTTTTTTCACGACATGGATTTGTCTTCTTCATGCTGAGCTCTGTGCTCTGAATAAGTTTCCCTCAAGAGAAAAAATTGCATCTTGTTTGCCTGAATGCATGAAAAAGTTTCCAAATTTAAGAGTAATTCTTGACTGTACTGAAATATATATTCAGAAATCATCAAGTTTAGTTAACCAGAATTTAACTTTTTCAAATTATAAACATCATACAACAATGAAGTTTTTGATAGGAATTTCACCTGCTGGAGTAATTTCTTTTGTGTCAAATGCATGGGGTGGGAAAACTTCAGACAGACAGATGGTTATTGATAGTGGGTTTTTGGATTTATTAGAACCAGGAGACAATGTAATGGCCGATAAAGGTTTTACAATTAGAGATTTACTGCAAGAAAGAGGTTGTACTTTAAATATTCCACCATTTAACACCAAAGGACAATTTTCAGTTGATGAAATCCTGTACACACAAGAAATTGCAAAAGTTCGCATTCATGTTGAGAGAAGTATAGGTAGGATTAAATGTTTTCATATTTTTGATGGTGTGATGCCACTTTCACTTGCACCTCTGTTAAATCAAATGTTTCAAGTTGCCAGTTTCTTGACAAATCTTGATGTTCCACTTATTGAAAATTAAATGTACAAAGAGATTTCTAGTCACTCTATAAAATGCCAGTTTTGTAGCTCACCCTGATGAAATAGAGATGAGAGTATCTATTAGTTAGGTAGATGCTTGGAAGGTAAGTTTGGAGGTATATTGGGTCCTTGAAAAAATGTATTTGGGAGGCATAAGCTGTTTACATGTTTTATGTCTGGCAGGCATAAGCTGTTTACATGTTTTATGTCTGGCTTTTTATTGAAAGTCATAGAATTTTACCTTTGTAAACTCCAAACCACCTTTAATAACCACTTTACCTATACATGTAAATAGAGAATTGAAGAATGAATCAATTTTTTTTCTCTTTTTTTTTTTTATCATGTAGATGCAATTTGCAAGCCCTGTTTTTGGACAAATAATGGTTGTAAAATGCACATGTTCATGTACATTAGGTCACATGAAATATATTGTCAACAGTTATTAGTTTTAAGTAAAGCTTTTGTATATAATGTCTACTATTCTGAAATCTATGAAAAGAAAAGAATATCTGTAGAAAGAGTTTATATATTTTTAAATGTTTCTGTTTCTTTTCAAAATAGAATTTAAACTTCATATATGTTACAGAAAATGCATTAAAATCAAAGAATACAAGATTCTGGGATTAAAATAAACTGTTTCGCTTATATTTTCTGGTCTTAAATAAATCAGATAGTTTCAGTACAAATGTTTGCAGTTAACATGAAAAAAATTAATTATTTAGGAATGAATTTAATAAGGTGGGTTGGGGCAGTTTAAGCTTTATAAACCG